AAAAAAGAATGTGGAAATGTTGGTGTGTCTTATACACCGAATACAGCCATTTTTGGCCTCCTGAAGCCCCGCCCCCGCATCCCGTTTTTGAAAGAAACAGGCTGTCTTCCCCCAACCCCCAGAAGCACACTGCAGACTTCAGCAGGGCTGGGGGAAGGCAAAAATGCTTCTGTTTTTGTGAAAAACAGTCCCTTTTTTGTAAAAACGGAGGCATTTTTGCCTTCCCTCAGCCCTGCTGAAGTCTGCAGTGTGCTTCTGGGGGTTGGGGGAAGGCAAAAATGCTTCTGTTTTTGTGAAAAACAGTCCCTTTTTTGTAAAAACGGAGGCATTTTTGCCTTCCCTCAGCCCTGCTGAAGTCTGCAGTGTGCTTCTGGGGGTTGGGGGAAGGCAAAAACAGCCTGTTTCTTTCAAAAACGGGATGCGGGGGCGGGGCTTCAGGAGGCCAAAAATGGCTGTATTCGGTGTATAAGACACACCAACATTTCCACATTCTTTTTTTTGGGAGGGGGGAAGGTGCATCTTATACTCCAAAAATACGGTAATTGTAACAATTTAAGGTGCTTCTCCTTATGCTTCATAATATAGGAAGACTCCAATAACACCAATTCATACTTTTCAATAGTTCATAGTAAAATTATTGCATGTGAAAAAGTTCTTGGTTATAAAACATTAGTGTAAGTTTACAGAAATCTAAAACTAATAGATAGATTAATGAAAAATGCAGGAAGAAATAAAACAGGGTGAACAAAACCCTAACTGAGGAATATAAATACTACTCAGGTGTATGTTGAAAAAAATGCTGCAAGGATAACCTACTCACCTGATCTGGGCCTTTGTCAAACATTTTCCTTGTCCTGGGAAACTGGTGGGAGTGGGGAGTGTACTGCATTCCCACGTTGCCAACATTTGCAGGTCTTACAGATGAGATGTCCCGATTGACAGGCTGCTTTGTCACGTCATTGGTCAAGCTAGAGCTGCTGGTACTTGCAGTTGGTGGTGACCCTCTAATAATGGGAAATGAAAATAAGAGTGAAAATATGACGATTGCATTAATGATTTTTCCTAAGGGAAGGCAAAAACTTAACCTGTGATATAGTTGATTTTTCTTTAGCAACTCCTGCCCAAACCCTTTTCTCTACTTGCCACTTTGTTTATTCTTGTGGATGTGTTTGTATTTGTGTGTGGGCACCTTTGTGTCAGTTTTTGTCTGCAGGTAATTGCCTCGACTAGTTCCTAGAGTTTTCTTGGCAAAATTTCAGAAGTGAATTGCTACTTGTTGCTTTCTAAGACTGAGAGAGATTGATACCCAGTCAGTTTTGTGCCTAAGGTGGAACTAGAACTCCCAGTTCTAGCCTAGTACCTTAACAATTAACCTTAATTTTTCTAGATAATAGTATTTTTAAGCTATACGCCCCTCCCTTAGCCTTTGCCCTCCTCTCTCATTTCTCTTTGCCCCAATAAAATTGTAGGAGGAAAAATATATCAAAATAGGTGTCAGTATGATACTTGGAACAACAAAGCCTCTTAATTTTTTCCCCCAACACAGGAATGAATCTGTTCTGGAGAGAAAAATAGTGTATTCTATAAAGCCTGAAAATTCAGTGCATAATGCGAGTGGCTCCCAATGTATCTGTTTTTGATATTTTGGTATTATATGATAAAGATCTTTCTGGCACAAAGATCAATTTCTTTCCATCCTGACTCTTAAACTGAGTCATGAGCAGTGTTGTTTATGCTTCCTTTGACTAAAAGCTTTAGTACTAATGGGGAATGAATCAGAGTTAATTCACAGAAGGATACTTGAGGTGTTGCAGTCTTCATTGCAAATGCTACATTAGAGGGACATTAGATAGGGAAAGAAAAGGTATACTTAAAAGCTCTCACAGAAAAAAATATCTCGTAAATAGACAAATGGTTTCGAATAAGTTGCACAAAAAATAGTATCTGCACAATACACACCTTTTTAATTAGGATATGGCACAGGATAATACATATAGGCAACTTACCCTACTTGATGTATGTGCATGCCTTTGTTAGTAGGACTGGCTGGGGCAGAATGCGTGACAGAGGATGTGTCAAGGATGCGCTGGGGGCGGGCATTTACAGTTGCCTAGGAAACAAAAAATTAACAAGTGAGAGAAACAGATGCCAACCTTTGCTTGGTATGGTTGCCACATTTGGAAATAAACGGAAGTAAAGTCACTCTCCAGCGCTACAATAATATTGTTATACTACTGCATGCCCATCGAAGAAGAATCTAGCTCATATACCTACCCACCTTTAATATGCTAGGTTCATTAGTCTCTATACTATGAGTGGTCCTGTGGCCTAGAGCAGAAGTGGGTTGCTGCCGGTTCGGCCCAAATCGGGCGAACCTGTAGTAGTTGTGACAAGAGGCTTCTCCCACCCGCCTGGATGCTTCTGTGCATGCGCGTGTGTAAGCACACCTGAACCGGTAGTAAAAAAATAGCAACCCACCTCTTGCCTAGAGGTGCAGTTCTTGCCTCACAATCAGAAGGCTGTGAGTTTGATCCTAGGTAGAGGCAGATATTTCCCTTTCTGGGCACAATGAGAATATATCTGCTAAAACAATCTCTGTGACAGGAAGGGCATCCGGCCACTAAACACTCAGCTCCTTCAGTTGCTCAAGACTCCATCCCGCAAGGGATTACGGGGTCTTTAATAGAAGATGATTAGTCTCTATACCATGTTAATATTTGAGACAATTTTTAAGGGAAGACTGAAATCATTTTAGGACCAAACTTAATAAAGTATTACCAAAATGTCAAAACCTGACCCAGTTGCCTAAACCCAAGAACCTTCACATATCAACTTTTTTTTCCAGAA